CGCACTTTCTACGGGATCCCGCCATCACCATTGCGGACGACACCGCCACCCTCGACAGCGACGACGCTAGAGATTCACTCGGGGAGGTCTACGACACTCGGCGTACGTGGCGGACACCCTGCCAGACACGGTCCTCCACTGAGTTCTGCACATACTTACCCTTCGTCATCGTCTGGGGTAGCACCCCGCCTCCACTTACATCTGCTCCACCACACCTTCCTCTTCATGTGTCTGGCCCTTCCACCTCTACGATGGCCAGGGATATTATGTCTGCACGGAGTCCATTGGGCAGCCTCCACTCCCGACACGACTCTCCTCCGCTATTGTTGATAACGTTACGACGAGTCGTGCAGGTAGGGAGAGGAGTAGGGAGGAGGACGACGGACACGAGCGTGCAGGTGCAGGTCAAGTGGGGCGTGGCACAGGGAGAGGTCGAGGACGTTAGTGTCGTCGGAGAGATGGGCTAGGGTGCGATGGGCCGGGGATGCTCGAGAGCGGATGCCTCATGTCCGTAGGCTTTGCAGGGATGACGGCTTTTGGAGTGGCGTGAAGAGGGTCATGGACGTCATGGGTCCCGTTTACGGGTTCCTCAGGGATGTTGACAGGGACGGTTCATCACCCACTGACCTGTGGGATTTGGAGGCCATCCTACGGGGGCGACTTCGTTCACCGGAGTTGTCGGACATTGACAGGGACGCGGTGATGGACATCGTGAGGGACAGATGCGCGATGATGCGACAGCCTGCTCATGCAGGTGCTTACCTACTGGATCCACGACGGCGCGATATTTCATTGCTTGAAAACCGCAGCAGGCCTGTCGTGCAGTCTGCGCTTGAGCACTTCGCTCGCGTTGTCGGAGGGTGGGACAGCGATGCCATGCCTAGTATGTGGGAGGCCCTGTGGACTTTCCACAGCGACGACCCGCAATATTGGCCACAAGATGGTCAGCACTGGTGGGACTCGTTCGCTACCGCCGACGCGAACAAGATGCATCCGTCGATGTGGTGGGGGCTTCACGGTGGTCAGCAGCCCGTTTTGCAGGGCATTGCGCAGGCTGTGATGGGCACGTGGTCCACCGCTAGTCCTTGTGAGAGGAACTGGGCCACGCACGACTTCGTTCACACGAAATTAAGAAACCGCTTGACGGCGCGCAACGTTGAGAAGCTCGTGTTCATCCATTGGAACTTGCAGCTCCTTAGTGAGAGCAAGCGGTCGCAGAGCAGGTACGTGGACATTTGGGCGGACCAGGTTAAGGATGAGGAGGTCGCTTTGGACGTGGATAACGTCATCCCTGCAGATGTGCCGGAGGAGGAGCACAAGGCGATTGAGAGGAGCAACAGGAGGAACGAGGGTCGCAATCGAGCTGGGAAGGGCAAGGCACCAACAGTGGACTCGGAGGATGAGGAGGAGGACATTTTTTATGACCTCGTGTGGATGCACCAGGGGATTAGGAAGGAGGCAGAGGCAAAGAGGGGTGCTGGGATGACTCTTCCAGAGGACCAGCACGACTTGCTGGACGAGTGGGGTGGACAGGATCCGCACGACGACTTCGACGCATACGTTGGTGGCACCATGCAGACAG